CTACTCCAAAAAACAGAACAGTTTTTAACATTAGAAAGTGGATTGGATTCTCGAATTGAAGAGAAGAGAGTCATAGCATAATTACTATAACGCTGACGCCGGAGACGTTAGTGAAGGAGGTGGCAAGAGCGACGCCGGAGAGCTGGAGCTCGCCGTAGTGGCCAGCGACCATGACTGAGATAACAGGCAGTAGGTATTGAGCAATGGTCACGGTGGCCATAGGAGCGGCCAAGCGGCTCACTTTCTTCAGCTCGACCATGAATTGACCTCTTTGCCATGTTGCTTTACAGGGCACTAACTGGTCGTCTCTCACAAGAAATGGCTCTTCCATTGTCGTCTGTACTAGTTTTGATGAAGGCCTTGCCTTTGATTCTGACGAAATGGGATTTTTATAGACACAGTCAATGACTCAATGTCAATGAACACTTTTATTTTTCTGAATTGTAAGGATAAAATATTCAGTTTACATGACTTTACCTCAACCCGTAGAAGCATTCTAATTTTTCCACAAAGAATCCTGGTACGAAGTTTCATGTCGTGTCGTCAATGCAATTGTAAATTGACTTAAAAATAATGATTTAGTTTAGAAAAAAAAACATGAAATTTTTAAAGGTAATTTCTGTTTTAAATTTAGATAAGTTATCACAAAATTTTCTATAATATTTATTTCATTAAAAAGTTAGTTTAAAATTCATAAAAATTGTATATTTCACTAATATGCAAAACAGATTTTAACAAATATTTTATAATAATTTTTGTTTTTATTTCAAAATTTGATCAGAAAGTTTTGTCACAAGAAGATTTTATAATTAATACTTACCATGTTTTGTTTTATAAAAGATATTTTACTTTGTTTAATTTTGTGACAAAACATCCCAAATTTTTAATATATATACACACATATATAAAAAACATATAAAAGAAAAACTTTCTGTAACATAAGAAAAAATTTGAAAATGACAAATGCTGGGGATAAAGTAATTCCATCTGAATTAAGAATTTCGTCTAACACCAAATGTCTTTTGACTTAGGTGTGTCTTATAGTTCTATTGAAGAAATTGATCCTTTGGACTAAACCCAAGAGAATTTAGTGTTGAGACGAGTAAGTATCCTCATTATCCGGAGACGACACATGCTGCCCGAGTTCCCTTATCAGAATCTGGGGATAGATATGCAATATTTTTTTTAGACGCTGAGTTCAAATTTTCTCAAATACATTAGTTTAAATATTTGGTCAAAAGGTAAACTTTTACATTATACGTCTTAGGGTAAATAAAGCAGGTGATCCACACTTAGATAATGATTAAAGCACAAGGGAATTGATTCTAAGAGAGCGGCCGCTATATCAGACAATGTCAACGGTAGGGAAAGGTCATGCTCAGTGATGCAGAACCATAATGTCGGCCAACTAGCACATGAATACAAAGATGTTAGGTGAAAAGCACTCGAGTGCATCATAGTATATCAGACCTTAGAATCCAAACCCGATCAAAACTAAATGACGCGGAATCCGGTACGCGAGCCATGCAGATAAAAATCTATAAATACTCCTTTATTTCCCTTCAGAAAGGATATGAATCTTATGCTTACAAATAATACACTTAGACCATTTTGCTCGAGACTAATGCCCAATCTCTTGCGTTTTTAGTTTCATTCAGAATGTTTAAGCCCATTCTCTCTGAATTCTTCTAGAGTTCTCTCTTTTCTAGTTGTTCTTTAACTCGTTCCCTCAACATATTCTGCTTTCCCCTTCTATCTCACCATACATTTCTTACTCCTAACGTTCTTATACTCCGTGGACCATCTCGACTAAGAGTCATTCTCTTTTCTCTCTTTATGTTTTTCGACCTTTTTGCTCTCCCTAAATCTTTGCAATATTTTCTCTTCTACCATTTTCTTTTGCTCTTTTCTAACTTGAGTATTGGAGAGCCATCGAAAAATATCCTCCAATCGTATTTTTCTGGCCTTCACGTGTTCGTTTATTGCACAAGAGCTGATTTCTCGAGTGTTAGCAATTAAGAAAGAAATAAAGAATGTATTTTATGTT